AAGGAAAACACTTATGAAATCCGTCTCAGTTGAAATGAGGGCACCTGTTTTGCATCGACACGATCCTTAGTTTACCCCTTGGCACTTCCAGTTGAAAATGCTTGGACAGCGGCCTGTACTGGCCAGTTTGGACCACTGGCCTTGTCATATTGCAAAGCGCTTCATACATTCCTTAATCCTCAAGTCAGTCAATAGAATCCAGTGTTAGTGCCACATAGACTTAGTCCCATTGAAAAGAATGGGAGTTAGATCAGTCACGGGCAACTTAACAGCCCGTTCATTTCACTGCAAATGAACTAACCCTGGGTATTACTCAGTATCTTCTGTGCTAAGATGCACCCGATACTTAAAGCCCAGATAGCAGTTGTAGATGTTTGTCCCGGTCCTGTACCCATTTTACTTACTGATGAACTGTGGCTTTATAGTCTGTACCTGGCGTCTCCACCGGAGACAAGGCGAGGCTTTGATTACCAGCATAGCTTATAGTAGGCCATCGTGATGCTGTCACTTGACGCAGAAGTCATTCATTGATGCAACTTCTTGGAAAAAAAAAAAAACGATTTAGTGGAATCATTGGAAAACATGCGAGCTAATTGTAAAAATTACTGTGTTCTCGATCTTGTTTAGTTAACAATGCCTTCTTTATCGTCGTTAGAGTCCCAGTGGCCACTGCTGCAGGATCCATTGATTTGGTTCCAGCCTTCTGATACCCTGAAGGTATAATTCTAAGCAAGTTTAGCCGGAAATGCCTACAGCTCCCAGCATGACCCAGGCAACTGCTATGCTGGCTGCCGCACGCTTGGAGCTGTAGGCCCCCTTTTCTGACTAAACATGAGATTGCACGAAGAGGCTGCCTTGGATACCGTATAGAACGTTGTCCTCGACAGCTCTTGCTGGCTACCCGGTGACTCCTCGAGCAGCGTGCTTTGATTTTACTAGAGAGTCCTCAGCTGGCATTGCTTTTAAGTCAGAACCATACATACCGGTTTGGCCTCGCACACAATTGTCCCAGAGCGAGCCATTTCTCCGAAGTTGCTCTCTTGACACAGATTCTTATTGTACTTTACTTGTGCATGCCTTGCTTTCAAGTGGCATCAGATGTCAGTGTTGGCTTGTTTTGTTGGCTGACTGCCAAATGGCTGACTTTGAATGACATTTCACATACCAAACTTTTCACAACTTCCAGCATCTATTCAACCAGAGATTTTCTCATGGACTAGTTCCCTTGCTGGGCTTCCGCAACTGCAGATAAAGTCACACCATCTCCTTCACAAACTTATAGTATATTTATATAAGCTAGAACCATCTTGGGGGGGTGTAGTTTTAAAGTTCGTTCAAATTTTTCTTGGGTTTGTGGTAAAATTGCTGTATTCTTGTTATCCTCTAGTGACCAACACACCTTGTGACCAACACACTGTTTTGACCGCTCCCAAGTGTTCCACAAACAGCTCTGCTCTGTCGGATTACTGTGGGTGGGAGAAGAGTGTGTGCTGTTGTTTTAACATTTACTTCTTGAAATTCTGGAAAGATGCCAGGCTAAGCCAGCTAAAGGCATTTTTTTTTCCTTTTGGGAACTGGACAGATGCTGATGACTTTCCCACAAAAAATCAGAGATTGCTTTATACTGAATTCAGAGTTGTTTGTACTTAAGTCCCATTATAATGACTGTCATGAGTTAACTTCAGGTTCCACTTGATTTCAGTGGAGATTAAGTTGAGTAAACCTGCTTTGGATCTAATTTAGTGATGGCAGCAACTTAATAGGCTTTGTATAGGAGTTCAGAGTGTTTAGGGTGACATCCAGCATGACTGCCCATTGCCCTCTGAACTTGGAGGATTATGGGCATCCAGTGAACAGGAGGAGTGCAGAGGTGAAGATCGCTAATGTACTTCCCTTACCCTCCAGAACACACCATAAGCTGGTTTTGGCTGCCTGAAATGAAAGCAAGAGGGCCTGAGGAATTCCGGAATTCCTTGCGTCCTGGCAGAGCCTTCCTCCACCCCTTGCTGCTCCCTGGAACACCCTCCTGCACTGGCTCAAAAGCCACACTTGTGATTTCAGAGTCCCTAGCTGCCGTGGTGAAGTGAGAGTACCCCAAATTCGGAGCATCAGCTCTGGCTTTGGAGTGCTTTTTTGTGCGTCAGGGCTGGAGTTCTGAATTTTCTCTGCCCTTCTAGACACTGTCTGGAGGCCATTGGCTTGCACCCTTACTTACCTTTGCGAGGTCCTTGCACTATAAAGCAGTATCACTCGTATTGCAGGTAGGCCATTGACGCAGAGGGAATACTGACTTCCCCTAAGACTTAGAGCAAACTCTGAGCAGATTCCGGATGCCATCCCAGAGTCGCAATTTGAACTCTGGTGGGTTTTGTTCACAGTCCATTCTCTTTGCTTTTATGCTGTACTAGCTCTGTGGTAGCTTTATGATTTATGAGAGGTATGGTATGTATAAAACTGCAGCCAAATAATGGATGTGACTGACTGTAAACACTTGGAAGCGTTATGCAAATATTAAGTTTTAAACCTATGCTTGTACTGCGGATGGGGCGCGATTTGGGCATGCCTGTGCACATGCATGTTGTGCATGGGAATTAACTCCTAATCACAGAATATAAGATACTTGTCTGTGGCAGGCACCAAATGCTTGTGAAGTTACAAAAACGTTATTACTGGAGCTTTAGAGTCTACAGCAGCCTTAGTTCAAAGTCTTAGCTGCAACCAGAAGCAGCATCATAAATGTTTTTTTTAAGCCTGTTGAATTGTGCATCCTGGTCTTGTACGTATGGTCTTCCTAGCTAAATTGCTGGCTAGGTTTACGCCTGCTTCCAGGCTTGAGTGATGCTGCGACATCTGTTCTCACGCCATTTGCTGGATCCACAAGATGGATATCAGGGGCGGGGAACCTGTTTTTGTTCTGGGGCTGTCTTGCCCCTTCTGGACAGTCCCCTAGGGTGGGTGGCATCAAGGTGGTAGAACCCCTGCGTGATGTCCCTCCCCGGCATCATCTGTCTCTGCTCTGCACAGTTTTTGCTTTCCCCATGCAAGGAAAGGCATGGAGAAAGGAACTAGGCTGGCACCTGAAGGACCGTTCTCCAAGTTGTGGCTGAGTTGACTGCCTTCTCTTCTTGTTCATCCCACCATCCTCGATGGACACACCAACAGCAGCCGAGCTGGAGGCAGTCTTTGCACCCCATCCCAGCTGAGGTGGCAGGCGAAGAGGGGGCGCACTGCTGCTGTTCCATGCCTCGCCTGAGGCCAAGGGCAGGATCGCAGGGCCACAGCCCCGAATTCCTGAGCTGTAGTGGGACACTCTGATGCTGCTTGAGAAGGACGAAAGCACCTGTTGGACCTGCCTGCTGGGGAAATGATATTTTTCTCTTTCCAAAGCAGCTCCCTAAGCTGTTCTCAAAAGCTCTCAGGGCCTTGCAGCCTCTAAGTGACAAGCACGAAGAGTTGAAGTATAGGGTCTAACCCCAGAGGAGGTAGTGTGCTTTTTATACAATCACCAGCCAAAGCCCTTGTTCTCTTAAATTCATTTTTTTCAACAGAGTGGTCTAAAGAGAATGATTCAACCCCAACAAGGAACTAATTTGGTTCACCAACACAGTAGAAACTGTTGATATTATAACCCTGCTTTAATTGCCCTTACAAACAGAACTCTAACCCTGGACATGGGTACCTCTCCACCTCATCTCACTATGTATTGAGAAATGCCTGATTCAGGGAGTGGTACATTTATTGGAACATAATCTTTCCGAGGTCCTGTGGTTCTGTAAGCATGGGTTTTGTTAACAGGTTCACTGAGTTCATGCTGTCATTCTTGTAGGAGGTACATTTAATAACAACAATAATGTACAGTGAAGAAAGAAGCAAAGACATTGTAGGTAGCGGTTCTACAGATGAATGTTATTTGAATAGACCACATGTCCAAAGGTTCAGTGAGGAATTTAATAGGACATAACCGGACAAGTTGGACCCATGACAAAATGTTGCCCTGTATCTCTATCCCTCAGGCAAAGATAGGCACCAAAATGCCATCCAAATCCCATCAGTTCCAACCAGCAAGCCAATGGAAAGACATCCTGTGAATCACGAGAGGGCTCTTCCCATTCCAGGTTTCATGTTGTTTTCCATCAGGGTGGAACCTGAGTATTTTATTGTATTGCATACTGGTTTGTGTTTTTTACTTTTCGCTTGAAGCATCCTTCGTAACGCGGAGGAGACTTTGTTAGCCCCTTGGTATGTGTTCCTTCTCTGGGATGCTTGCTAATAGGCTGTTAGGAGTAGGTTAATTGCCCCTTTGCTACTGCACTCCATTTTCTTTGGCATGCTAATATTCCATGTCACCACTGCTCTGAAAGGGAGACTTAAATTCACAGTTTATCCATCTGGTTTCTACATACAGATTTTTCTTTCTCTTCCACAGCAGTCATGACAACTGCCCATTGAAGAAATAGAGGCAACCCACAATTTTAGCATCGATGGGGTCAGGCTAGGTGGCAACACGGCCCCCTTTGTCCCCCAGAGAAAGTAGAAGAATGGACAGGAGCGCCTGCCTCGGGGTTGTGTGTGAGCCTGGCAGTTCCAGCTGTCGGCAGTGGGGTGCATAAGAGCGACAATACCCTGCTGGCTGGCTTTCTCGTTTTAAAAACACTTGAATTCCGACTGTAATTCTACGTTGAACATCTATTTTTCTTAATTAAGAGCATGTAATAGAATGCATTTATCTACATATAGTACCATAGTTGAACATCGTAGCTCTTTTTTAACTGAGTTAGACAACTGACATACTTGGAAGTAAAACCAGCAACTTCTCTGCACCTCCATATTATTATGCTATATTGAATTTCCCCGGTCTTACTGCAGTTTTATAATTTTGTTCAGGGCATCTATCATTTATAAGAAAAGTAACAGTGTTTGATAACTGTATTATAGTTAGTTTCTTCCTTACATGATTTTCTGTCAATTTATTGTTCATGAGTATACAAATACAACCAACCCTCCATCAGACTTTTATTAGTTCCTATACATAATTAAATGTAGATCTTAATAGTATGTGCTCTCTTACATAATGTCATAAAAACAGAGTACAAATCTTTGTGCATAGGGCAGCGAATATTTCTGTTAGTAAGAAGAATTGCGATCAGCTTCTACTATGGTATTTTTGATACAAGCTAAATTAAACTTCTGATTGCTCATTGCTATCAGGAATGACTGATTTCAGGGTAGCATGGCAAAACCGGTTTAAAACAGACACTTTAGTTTTCTGTTCGATATACAATTTTAGTTTGTCTCTGAAAGTTTCACCCAGGAAGCTGTAGATAAGGGGGTTCAAACAGCTGTTGGAGAATGCTGCGAGGTTCACAATATGTCCTGTTAAAGGGTAGTTGTGCCTGAAAGACTGGCTTCTGGATGAGGCTTGCTCTGTCTTTTGGAGAAGTTGTACACTTATAAACACATTTTCAGGCAGCCAGCAGATGAAGAAGACGAGGACGACGACGACAATCATGCGAAGAGCTTTCTGCCTGCGTAGGCGTAAACTCCTGTGCTTGTGGGCTCTGACCAGGACTCGAACAATTAATGAGTAGCAAAGGCCTATGATAGCAAAAGGAATGATAAACCCCAAGGTTATTTCCAACCACTGGATTTCTTCTACATCTGCGAAGCAAAAGTAAACTTCTCCCGTGTGCTGCAAATGTACAGCTGTAAAGGGCACTAGGGCTGCCGAGATGGATGCCAACCATATGAGGCCACAGCTTAATCTGGCGTGCTCCATGGTACGGAACAAGTTGGACCGCATTACTTTTGCCAGAGCCATGTACCTGTCAAAACTCATCCACGTTAGGAAAAATATGCTGCTGTACATGTTGATTTGAAGGAACAAGGACATGAACGTGCAGATTATTGTGATATCGTAATACTTTTCATCAAGATTAAAGACTTCAATGAGCGAGTCGGCAACGAGAATGAGGTCTGCTACTGCAAGGTTTATGAAATAGAGGTCTGGAATAGTCATCTTCTCACGAAAACTGATGTTCACCACTAAGATGAGGATGTTTCCTACAAAGCCAATAGGAAAAAGGAATATTGTGTAAAGGCATGACAAGAAAAGCCCTATAATGTACTGCTGGTGCTCTGATTTATCAGTAAGGCTGAGGGTTTTGCTTTCGTTACATAGGTATGACCCATTCAGTTCAAGGTACGTATTGTTGCACAGTACAGGAGATGTGGACAAGAGGTGTGGCATTTCCATGGTGTGGTTTTCTGCTAGGTAGATCACTTTGGGTTTCAGTGCCAAAGTGCTTAAATTGTTGCTTGATCCAAAAATATCTGTAGAGGTCATGTTTGAAATCTGGAGAGGCAGAATCAGTCCAGATAAATCCTTGCAAAATTTCTGCGGTACCTTAGGGAAGCTATGTTAATTCTTGGTGTAATAAGCAAGAGAGAATTCATATGTTCTATAATGCAAGAACCTTTTCATAGCAATGATGGCTTCAGGTATATGCATTTTTCTTTGATCCCAGACTTGCTTATAGTTTGGAAGATGGTGAATCATAATCACTCTTTACTTCAGCTAAGGAAGTGGTGAATATTGTTGGACCTGCAATTAATGAAAAGGAAAATGATTAATATAGTGCCCAGTAGATTGAAAGTGTCCAGCATTGATGAACATGGACGGACTTGTCATCTGTCCATGCAAACAAGGTGACGCTGTCCGTGTGCTTTTAGTAGGATGAACCAGAAATAAATGAACGTTCCTACTAAGGGTAGACTTTTTTTTGTGAACGCAAGTGATTGTGAGATTAATTTAATTGTAATGATAGACCTTTTATAACTAAGAGAAAAGTATTGGTTCCTGCTGATTTTTACCCTGCCCTTTTCACACAGGTGCTTTTAAAAATCTTTTGTAGAGAAGGCATATCTATATTCATTGCAATCAGTTGATGATATGGACATCTTCTGAAGAGGATTATTAATCCCTTAAACACATACCTTTTCTTTTTATATCTAGTTTGCTGAATGATTTGGCAGTTTTAAAATTAAAAAGAAAGCAGATCATCAATAACTTAAGCCAGATGATGTGAAAAAGCTGTCCTTGGAGGTTTATTTGAAAGTGAAACATGTATATGGACGGGAACCCATGTACATGTACAGCAGAGTAAACTGTTTGTTTGGCTGAAGTATTTCCTGAGTTCTGTCGAACTGTTCCTAGTATAAGATGACTGAGACCTAGCACAGGACAAATATACTGATGGAGTGACAAAAACAACAGCAAAAGAACAAAAACAACAGCAACATAATAGCAGCTACAGTTCTATAAACACTCATGATGAGCAAGTCCCGTTAAACTCAGTGAAACTTGCTTCTGAGTAGATGTGTAGGAGTGCATTGTAAAATGCACTTGAAAAATAAGCCATTTTAGTACAGAAAAAGGGTGAGCAAGGTGGGGGGATGAGAACGTGATGGTTCCCTAACAGGATAAAACATTGGAAAGTATGACAAAGCATTCTGTGTTCAAGCAGTAAAATTCATGGCTCTCTAATGAAATGGATTGTCAGCAAGTTCAGCAACCATTTCTTCACACTGTGCATAAAATATATACAGAATCAGTTATCACAGGTTGTGATGATGGTCACCAGCTGTTTATTAAAAAAAGACTGGGCAAATTCTGAAAGGACTGATCAGTGCCAATTAGCCATAATAATTAAAAACAGAACTGCAGTTTTGAGAGGCAGGATACCTTTGAATATCCAGTGCTGAGAACATGCACATGTTATCTCCCCTTTCCCTGCTTATGAATTTCCCAAGGGCATCTATTTGGCCATCGTTACAAGACATAAAGCTGAAGTTTTGCTTTTTAGGACATTTAATTCTGATCCAGCAAGTCAGCCCTCCCTATTTTATATGGAGGTATCCGTAAAATACATTCATGGGGCTTGTCATGTTTATTTCTGGAAAGAATGATTATTTTCACTTGTCCAAAATAAGTCTGTATTATTGTCTGAGCTACCATGAAACTCGTAACAACACATTTCTACATTAAGGCATTTTTCCAAAAAGTAACTTATCTTGCATAAGTTTCATTTATCAACCGAGAGTTTAAGAATAACTCAACCATATTTTAAGTTGCCTTTTCTGTTTCTGAAAGGTATCATAAATCACTTTTATAAACCACTGAAGATTAGACCAATAGAATTTTTTAAAAAGGTATTTTACATAACACTGCTTTAGTGACATTATAATTATGTGCTGGGGTCTGCAGAAACCCAGTTCTTACCTTCATATATTTTAAGTTATCTCCATATATTTTAAGGATTTATTTTACCTTCTGTACATCCATAGGTATTAAAACGATCCAAGGTTGGCTTCCTTCCAATCAGTGGTGGCTGGTTTATATTCAGATATATCATTGCCACTCACAAGTAATGAAAAACCGTGCTATTCAGATGATGTTAGGTTGTACTGAATACTACTACTGGTACAATTCAGACTGCTTTAACAAAATCCTTTAAAGTACAGGAATCGGTTATGGCAATGTACTCAGATACAATTACAAGTCCTACCAACAAAATAGAGCTTTATGGGTGGACAGAGTTTGTGCAGTTTGTGTTTAGCTTAAAAAGCTATGCTGAATCTTAACTCTGTTTCTGCTGGCTTGAAAGACTGTGCTGAATTTTAACTCTGTTTCTGCTGGTTTCTTTTTCCCAACCAGTTTAATTTGTAAATCTTATTTTCAAACACATTGGGACGTTTGAGTCTTTCATTTCACCCTTTTGCTTTCAGAATCCTCCTTCAAATGTAAAAATAACTCAGATGCTGGTACACCAAGTGTCATCTCACAGATTCAGTTAAAAGAGACACTTTCAACACATGCTACTGCTTGGTCACACATGCATATAGCAAATGAGGTCAAAAGGGAAATATAAGAGCTTTTGAAAACAAAATGCAAGAATATTTTTATACATAAAATTTAATAACTGTAGTAAGCTCTTCTTACCCTCTTCAGTGAGTCTTCTTGCTCGCTTGGATGTGTTAGTAAATTCAGAAGGTGTCCCCAGCCCGATGCACTTCAGCATTGTGGCTTGCACCTCTGAGAGCCTTTCCCCGGAGCAGCCCGGCCAGCGCTGCATGGACTGGGTGTCTGCAGTGCTTCCTGCCCTGAGGTAGCAGGTGGAGGCTTGGGCTTCATCTGCCTCTGGAGGAAGCTGGTTGACAACTGCACAGACACCACCTGGTGGCTTCCAGAAGGGCTCCGCCGACTGTGGGGAAGGAGGGCTTGAGCAGCTATGTTACATCCCGCTTTCTCCATGGAAGGAACACGACTAATGGCCATGTGCCCAGCAGAAGGAGTTGCCGCTCTGTGTGTGCGAGAGACACACACAGCCCGTCCATGTGTCCCCGCTCGCATTCTGTGTGTGCTTGAAAAGACGCTTTTCTGAGCTACGTCGTCGCCGGGTCTGCCTGCCTCGCACAAAGCTAGTTGGTTCTAGCTTGTAGAACTTGTCAGGATTTTGGGCATGCTATCTGTATGTTCTGAGATCAGGTCTTTGGTATTTATTCTCCGCTGCTGCCAGTAGAATGGCCCTGCTAATTCTGTGTACCCAGGGGGACTTTGGACTAACAATTCTTAAAGAGCCGCACCATGTCCCCCACCCCGGTGCCCTACGGCAAATAGCTTTAAATAATGAGTGGCCTTTCAAAAGCTGTTGAGTTGCACCACACAGGAGGGGGGCTGCTGGGCCAAGGATTATTTTTTAAAGCCCCAGATCGCACTGGATATACCCAAGTCCTTGGAAGCACCTCTGTATTAAATTAGGTCCTCTCCATACCTTGACATGGTGAATGATAAAATGTAAGGCAGAGACCCACTTGAGATTGAACTGATCCAGATCACACGGAAATGACGCTGAGAAAAACAAAGAATATACAAAAAGGAAAGGAAAGTTCAGCAACCTGAGAATCTGTTTTTATTTGCTTACTAGTTTATTTAAAAAGTGACTTCTGGCCTTTCCAGGAGGTTGCCAAGTCATACTTGAAAGTGTTACTGAATACAATCGGCATTGGTGGTCCATAGAAACATAGCGAATCAGAAGGGGTCTCCTGGGCCATCTAGTCTGGCCCCTGACACAAGCCAGCTCCGTTGTCCAGTAGAGCAGCTTGCCTTCATAACTGTCAGAAGCAGAACATAGGATATTCAAATAAATAGAATTTTACACATTTTGATAATTTACATTAGTTTACATAATTTTCTTGGACTGAAACCTGGGTTGCACAAGTTTTACCATATTTATTTTCTTGTACATAACTTAAGTGCACACTTCCTGGAATGATGCCCATCAGCCAAACCATTCCCACCTCCACCCAGTGCGCGCTTCAATTAGACCATTGTTCATCTGGTTGTAGTATACTTCATTGGCCCCTTTCCATTACCTAGTTGCATTGTGAAGGAACTTCTGGGGTTGGCCCGACTGCACTTCTGGGTCCTTGCAGAACCATGGTGGCTCAATGCTCTACTTTCAGGAAACCATTTTCATATTTGCTTGCCTGCTAGGGAAGTTCTTAATGTCTGCTGTGGAACTCTGGTGTTTTGAAAAAGATTCTGGGTTGTGTTCTTAGTGCATAGTTGTCTCCTCTGAACTGAGAGTGCAGCTAAAATTCCTCTTCCAGTTGTACATTGCACTTGTAAAAACAAGAATTCAGAGAAAGTTGTCTTTCAAAGAAGGTGTCTGCCAGTACCGCCTTTTAGACAAAGCAGCCTGCCATTTCTACTCCTGTTGTGGAATTCCTGATAAGCTACCAAAGAACTTGACTTCGAAGATTAGAACTTCAACAAAGACAGGGTTTTATCTCTTATTTATGATCAGTGGTAGCTTCATTCTAAACAGTACAACATAGCACTGATAATACATGAGGCATAAGCACAACTAATTAAAAAATTAAAGTAAGTTTATATTAAAAGTATATACTGGTTTAGATCAGAAACCAAACATGTGATTAAATTTCCTGAATTTATTCAAGCTTTTGTAACATATTCCAGTATTCTTTATCATTTAGAAATATACCATTTTCTGCACCAAATGTGCCCTTTTAAAAAGTAACCTTAAAAATACACCTATATATATTTTTTCAAGCTACAAATCTTGTTGTGATCTAGTGGTACATTTTCATGCCATTATATTCCTTTATGTTTATATTTCATAGTTGACACAATCTGTCAAATACAGTAATAATGCCATTATTGGTAATGATTTGCCTGCCACGTATGAAGAGATTCTATTACTGCTGCTGAGATTCTGTTATTTGGTACCCCTATGTATTGAGATGGAGTGAATTAGGTCAGCAGCTGCAATTTAGAGTTCCATTTGTGACTAGGTAACAGTTATGTCTGTTCACTTAGTCGTATGTTTCTGCCCATTTCCCAGGAATGCTATTTATTTCTTAACATCCAGGCTTTAGTGCTTGTGCTCGCCGAACAATTAACAGAGACGTGCCCAGGGAACTGAGTCTATATGCGAATGCTGCCATCGGTACATGAAGGGGCAAACTTGCATTTGCCTGCACGGAAACTGTGAAGCATTAGGCTCGTTTTATGTAATTGATTTGATGGAACAACTTCATGGAGAACAGGTGCAGCTCCCATGCAGGTTGATGGTATAAACTGGTGACCTGCAGCAGCAGGGGGTTGTACCCGATGGCCTCCTCGGCCCCTTCCGACCCTGCTGTTCTGCGATGTTGGGTCGTCTTGTTCATAACACATTTCTAAGGGTCATTTTCTTCTCTCTGGGTTTATATCCATTCAGTCCTTGGGGCTGTTACTTTACAACAGCGGGCAAGTTGAATGGCTGTTAGTCATGATGGCTGTATGAAATATCTGCGTTTAGAGGTAGTATGTTATGGAAAGATGCACAACAACATGATAAGACTGTGGCTTTTAAAACACGATTGCTGGTTTCTGGAAAAATATGTGCCAAATTTTACAGGCCCAGAATGAAGCCTAAACCCAAATGTCATTTGAGGGCCTGCTTCTAAGTTGTGCCAGAGATGGGTCTGGTGCTGGTGTTGCAGTTGTGTCCCACACTGCTTAAGATGGTTACTCAGTTGTGGTTCCTCACTCCCCACCAGTTGAAGGCCAGCCGCTTAAAGACCTCTGATGGGTCACTGTGAGAAACCGTGTGGTGGCTGAGATCCTCTGTTGATTTTGATTCAGTAGGAGCTTTAGTTTGGTACGAGCTGCATTAAGCAGTGCATTGCCTTAGTAAGCACGGGCTGTGTATGTTTATATTACTTACTTGTTAAAATTGCTTTTTCAGTTAAGTTTTTAATTGGTTTATCTCACGAGTTAATTTTAATATTGCAGCCTAGTTCCTTTCCTACGTGGCCTAATAAGAGAGTGCAGTAATCTAACATGAGCGACACGTATGCATGCACGCACACATACCCACTCACTCTCTAAGATGGTTCATGAGCAAGGGATAAGTTCAGAAGACAACGGCACGGTCAGTTTTTACATAAGAACAACCATTGCTCCTCTTCAAGCCTACTGAAATTTAATCTGCACATACCCAGATTTGATTTGATTATTTTTTTGAAATTGCAGAGACACAGGGCAAAGGGACATCTGATCTCTACCGGCTCCAGGTAATGCAGGAGTGTACTTCCAGTGTATTTAGCCTAGCAATTCTCACTCATCTTGGTTCAGATATGGGTGACGTTCTTCCCCAGTACGGCTTATGGGTCCCTATAATAACATTTCCTTAATAGCTGCAGAAAATTATCTGGTTTATCTGAAAAGGAATAGACAGCCTTTTTCCATGACTTGGAACAAATATCCAAATGCCGAAAAGCTTCTAACATCCTGTTTGCGCTTGCCATAAAAATGGGTTTTGTAATAATTTGGTGATCATTTAGACATGAAATGGTTTTAGAAACTTTTATTCATACGATGAGTTGGAGTCACATTTAGGTAAATGAAAAATGGCTGTAACTTCTCACTGATCATATCATATTAAAATAACCTATATACACATAAAAAATCCATTCTTGGCGTCTGTCACATCCTAGTACGACCAAGAAATAGAGCACAGAACTGGGCTAGGCATGCGAAGAAGCAGGGCTATGTGAATATGAACAAGCTTGATTCTCAGTGGCTGGGGATCACCAGGTGGGAAGGGGAGAAACTTTGCCCTCCTCATATGGGCCCTGTGTATAATCTCGATTTTCGCCTCGTCAGCAGAAGTGTTACGCTTCCACTGCCTGCTGCAGCGAAGGCAAAACCGACTCTCAGCCCCTGGGAGTAGGTGGACTTAGCCATTCCTGGCGTATATATTGCCTGGTGCTACAGTGTGTCTTTCACTTCCCTCTCCTCCCAAGCCGCCAGTAACACGCAAGGCCTGTCCAACAAGTCTTACTTTATCTGACCCTCTCTGGGCACCACGCCTCCATCAGAATGATGGGCAGTATGTCTGAATGCAGTGTGATAGTATTTTCCCATTGAGCCAACTCCATCCGTTAAAGTCCTCTGAGCTGCCTTCTAGCAACATGTGCTCGCTTCTCCGCAGAAGCCGTCCTCTTTGGTGGTGGCCGAGGCATCTGGGTCTCATGGGTGGGCAACCTGTGACCTCCCAGTTGCCGGGCTGTGGACAACAACGTGGGAGGCCCCAGCTGGAACAGCCTGTGGCCCGAGACAGTTTTGGGGACCACACGTTGTCCAGCCCTGCTGCACAGGACCATCCCTGTAGGAAGCACCAGTGCGTCAGTGCTGCCTCCTGTGGTTCGTGAAGTATTCCCTTTTGTCAGGCCAATAATATGTCTTGGGAGCTGACTTCTCATTCCTCGCTTTCTTAACGACACACTAGACTATTACTATTAATCAAAATGCTAGGATATACATGATGCTTTCAACTGCATATGACACTTTAACAAGTCACATTAGCTAAAAAAGAAGCATTTCCCTGCCCTTCTGGGTTCACCATCTACATATTGCCAGTGTGGAGATGGCAAATGAAGGGGAGGAAAGGGAGAGGCAAGGGTAAAACGGATGGATGTGGGAAAATGCAGTTAAGTGCACTTGGGTTTAATTTCAATTGGGTATGAAGCCTAAGAGGTTAAGCAAAATTTGTATCAGAGGTGGGAGTCGAAGAAGGTTTGCAGGGAGAGAGACTGGTGTGTGTGTTGGGAATTCAAGAGTTTCAGCCTGGTATTTTCTTTCTTTCTTGTGAGAAATACATGATTTCTTCATGTAGTTTCCAAAGTGTGTATAGTCAAGAGTCTGAACACAACAGTGCCAGCTGACTTAGAGTGTTCACTGAGGTGTGTTATTCATGAGAGAATATGTTGGGGAGCGTGGAGACTGGACAGGGAAAGAGGTGGCAGCCTGTGTATAAAGAAGATGCTGCCTTTAGAAACCCCTTTGTGGGAGCTCCGTTTTTAGTTCTGCTGAATGTCTAGATTACCTTCATCTTAACTTTGCTCTTGGATCAGCACAGAGAGCTCTCCGTTCAGGCAGGGGTGTAGTACTTTAATAGATCGTCCACGCTTCCTTTTCCATTCACTTCTGTTTTCTATTATGAAACTCCCTTGCATAGTTAATCAAAGAGCTGCTATCCATATTGCCGTTTGTTTTTTCTTGCCCTGTCTACTGACACAATTCCAAATTTCTCTTCAGTACCATTTTAAGGCAACTGAATCACAGAAGGACACGTACTCCCTTAATATACCTTACTGTCTTCAATAGCTCCCCGCCCTGTTCTAGGTGAATGGTCCCAGTTAACACTGGGACTTTGACAAAAGTTGGCCCTGTGTATTTAAACCTGCCTTCACCCAAAGGATTACCTTGTCTCAAGCCCAGAACAACTGTTTAGCATTGAAGAACAGTATATTTGTCCAATCCCTTTCCTTCTTCAGTGAACTCTAAGCTGAGCTTTCTGGATGTACTATATTGTTTCAGCAAATAGCAGTATCTTTTTGCAGCTGTATGGTTTTAGTTTCAATCCTTTCAGGGTGCTAGGTGCCCAGAAAGACCTCTGATTCAAGAAATGGCATGTCCTTTTGTTGTTATGTAAAGTATTGTCACACACTGGACAGCTTTTAGAAGTACCCACAGTTTCTAGCAGGCTGAATTTTCTTGGCTCCCACCTGGGGTAGTTGGACAATAGAGAGGAATAAAAACTCTTCCTTCCCTATCTGCAGGTGACCAGCATCCCATACAGATATGGGAGGTCAAAAATTTGAGGGACTGTGATTGCTGATAATGTTATACTTTTAAAACTTCTCTCAGTATAACATTCACTTGTAGAATAATGTCTTAATTCTCCAGGTGATATGCTACCATTTCAAGATTTCCCTTCTTTCTTTCAAGCATTCTCCTGTCGCCGCAACATACTTCTTGATCCTGGGAGCAGATGTTCTCATTGGTAAACTCAAAAGCACTAATTTATGGAAATAAAATGGAGGCAAAGGTTTTTCTTCTAAAAGCTCTTGACCAATTAGCCCATAGGATTGATCACTCCACTGTCCGTATATCAGCACAAAAGCCAAAGATCAACATGTAATAGTAGCACTTGCAAAGCTTGTAATGATCATGATTGGTAGTTGTCAGTCTGCAACGGATCATGTTTTTTCTTCAGTAGCTGTTGGAAAAAAAAGAATCTTGAAGACTGTCATTCCTTCAGGTCTATATATTAGCAGATGTGTAGCTCTTCTTTTGTTTTGGGATGTAAAAGTCAGTGAGATCCATTGTTAGGTTGTGCAAATGAGACTTCAGTATGGCTTCCTTGTATTTCAGGAGTTCTATTGCTAGCATCTCTCCTCCTACAAACTTTAGTGAGGTTGGTTATACAATGAAGTAAGCCGGTCCTGCATGGTTTATGGAGCCCAAGTACGATTCCTAAACTAATGCAGCTTTCACTGAACAACATTATCTCTGCAATGTTCATATTCAGCTCATTTTGTGGTGTCCCTATGCTTCCCTGAATTTTCAGGTTGGTCCTGGCCAGAATCATGACATTGTAAAATAAACGCGACGCAAACATCGTTACAGCGATCACCAAAACAGTCCAATAAGGATGGATAGTTTGTCTTGTGATGGAGCTCTCTGACTGGCCTTTTTTAACAAATGACAGAATAAAGCAGAGAAGATTGGCCACAGATGGAATACAGAAGCCAAGGGTAAATTTAATAATCTCATATTCAGGCCATGCAAATAAAGGATCTAATTGGCAGTCTGTTTCTTCGTGGTAATTCACTATGCCCAGCAATGCCACCACTGTCGTTGCAGCGCAAAAAGCACATGTTAGTACAACGCCAACACATACCATAGGCTTTTGGTGTACCCGACTAATAACAGCATTCTGGGGTGGGTAACCCTTGAGGAGAAAGCTTAGCATCATGAGGACAAGAAGGTACTGAGAATTGAAGTAACCCCAGTTGAAAAAAAATGATAGTGCTCCACACTCCAGATAGGATACTTTGAGATAGGAAGGCCTTGTGCTGATGGTGAGTGATAAAAAAATTATTAAGATGTTGCTGCAGGTAAGAGCAACAATCATTGTGTCTAATTTGTCCAAAGTGCGTTGCTTGCAGTTCTTAAGGAAGGTGCCCAAGATAATTATCCCAGCTAGTAAACCAGTTGGTACCAAAAGTGCAATATAGCCATGCATTAATCTTGATATTATGTGTTGTGAAGAGATGATGTCTCTAACATTTATGAATGGATGTTGACTCTGGCTTGGGTACTTCATCCATGTCATGTTATGAGGGACCATACTTGTGAAGAACTCTGCTTTCCTGGAGGTACTGCAAATTGAAATGAAGTCACAATGAATTACTTCGGAAGCATAATTTGCACAATAATAATATGGAAAAGTAACACCATATGCCCAGGGAGTGAATAAGGAAGAACAATGCCTTTAATGCGCGCCTAGTGAAAGCAATGCAAGCATGTGCCTGGCCACAAAAGAAGGCAAGATTCTGCTTCTGTTTTACTGGGAGTGGAGCATCACGTAAGAATGTGCCAGGATGAAGTCTTGGTACAGCGTCACATCCTGCAGAAAATGAAACACACAGAACACTCCTGGTTCCACTAGGGGTCAACTGTGTCTTTTCACACAAAAAGGCAAATAGCTGTATTATCATCGTTATTCGTAGCGGTAGTATTTTATTTATATTTTGTCTATTCCAACTGATAGTTCTACTTGATGGTTTTAGTTATACTTGAAGAATGTTTGAGTGTACCTAAGGCCTTGTACTAACTATTACCACAGGTAATAGTTAATCTTTGGTAGAAATTCAAGTCTCCCGTCTTTTCTGCAACTAATGAATTGACCCTCAGTGTGGTTTAGTTTAATGGGAGAACATCCTGTGGTAGTGAAACAGGAATGCTTTCTTCTTTGGTGGTCTTGCAGTGATGGGGCCGTCGGAAACTAACTGCAGCCATAATATAGTGTGATTTTGATTTGATTTCCGTAGACCTGTTTTATCAATCAAGGCTGCCTGCAGCAGAGTGATATGTGAAAGGACCACGGCCACTTTAGGTTTTTGGTTAGAAAGAGCCCACGTTTAAACTTCGAACACTTAGTACACACAGATGTGGAAGCACCACAGTTGAGTGGTAAAGCACCTGGTTTGCATACAGAAGGGGCCAGGTTCTGTCTCGGGCATCTTCATCTCATACCTGGAAAGACCCCTGCCTGAAACCCAGGAGAGCCATTTGCAGTCAGTATAAAACTAGAGGAACAAATAGTCTGGCTTCAGATAAGGCATTCCCTTATATTCCTGCGCATAACTGGCCCCCCCATGTCTGCATACTCTTATTGAAGTGCCTTGGTTTCAGAAATGTTTTGCCAAAGCTGCTTTTCAAGGAACTGGAGTCCAAAGAATGTCCTGGTGAACGGAATTTGTTGCATGCTTCCTTGGATCCCGTCTTAGGCTAATAATGTTACAGCTTTAAGATATATGCCAAAAGGCATTATCTCCAGCCTAAGTGTAGCCCTGAGAATCAGGGATGTGAATCTGTGGTCCGTTACAGTGTTAACCAACCAGAGAAAGGCTGTGTGTCACAAGCTCTGCTCCTGAAAGACTGAAAATTTCCCAAATGTGTTTGGGCTGATTCTGTGGCAAATCGAAATTCTCTGCCTCGTTTAATTCTGCTGGCACAAAGGGACTTAGTAGCAGTCCTGTCCTTCTAGTGCAAGTAACATCCATGGAGTTTTCTGCGTTAAAAATGGATAGCTGTGAAAACTGCAAATTCACAGCAATAGAATTTCAGCATTACTAATCAGTCTTTTTAATTTTCAGTACCACGTATGCCTAAATCTCATGGGGAAGCTACAAAGAAATGGGAAAAATGTTTTTTTAACTTCAAGTTTTAGCATTATTAGCTGATTATGCTCTTATTTGCTCATTTTCATCTGTGTGCGTGCATGTTTATGTTTATAGCAGTTATAAATTCCTGAAGACAGGGGTTTCTTAAGGTGAAACTTACAGGGAATTAGCTGTAATGGCTCCATCATGTGCTGCCATCATGATTCTGTTACCACGAAAAGACATCACTTTTCCTTTTAAGCAAATACTAGACTGTTTAAAAAAGATTCAATAGCTGTTTGCTCTGCAGAAAATGACTGCCATAAATATGGAACTTGTAATCTATAGGCCACCTAAAAGCACAATTTGTTCATTATCAAAAAGGTGATTTCCATATATTTTGTTAGAGGAAATCCGTTGCCAGTGTTATTCATTTAAAAAAAAAGATATATGCCTTGCGTTACAATAGGATAAACATTTCATATTTAAAATAATGTTAAAAAGTGTAAGGAAGCTTTCTTAGCAGGGGGAATAATCAAGAGCACATTTTAATGGCCAGTGTCTACTGACCAAGCTTGATTTGCATATCTGCAACTCAAAGACATAGCATGCTATTTATGTGATTGCATCTTCTGTTTCCTTTGTAACACAAGCATTTTAGTTTTCCAGTGATCCCAGATTTAATACTGGGTGTACTTCAAATCATTCAATAGTATGCAAAGCTGCTCCATTCAAGCTGCGTGAATTGCAGGGCCCTGGGCCTTTTTATTATCAGAAATTTCCACAGAGTCTCATCTAATAATGGAAAAATCTTTCTCCATAAGGCTTTTCTCATCACTTGCGTCTCTTTTAAGAGAGGTTCCCCCCCCCCCCAGTGTTAAGAATGCTGCGTGTTAAATACGCTGTCAGTTTAAGCCTTATGGCTTTGTTTGCATGTACATTTAAGAACATGTCAGAAGAACTCTGCTGGATTGGACCAAAGGTCCAGCATCCCGCGTCCCATTGCGACCAGCCGGATGCCCATTTGAAAGCTCATAAGCAGGCCACGCTGCCCTCCTCCGAGAACTGCCTTGAATGGGAAGGCTAGCTTAGGAGCGAGTCCAAAAAGACTCAGTAGGATTTACTTCTGAGTAAACATGTGCAGAATTGGGCTGTGAGTATATGAAAGCTTTAATTCGTTTTATTCTAAAGTTTACATCCTCACACCCATCCTAAAGAGTTTCTGTTGGGGAATTCCAGCAATTAAAATTAGCAATAAAAACAGAGTATCAGGAATATGGATTTCAGGTGCTTGAATATGAGCGTCTGTGCCCAGTGTGCGGTACACATCCATATTTGCCCAGTCGCCCCCTGAGATCGGCGGGAGAGGCCCTTCTCCGGGAGCCCTCCGTGAGAGAAATTAGGAGGGTGGCTACTCGGAGAAGGGCTTTCTCAGCGGTGGCGCCTAAGTTATGGAATGCGCTCCCCAGAGAGGTCCGCCTGGCGCCGTCATTATTTGTTTTTCGGCGCCAGGCTAAGACCTTTTTATTTAAGCAACATTTTAAATGCTAAATACAATTGAATTTTATCTGGCCAGGGCGGCTTATTTTATAATGTGTGTTTTAATTTAAGATTATTTTATATGGATATTTTAACTTATTGTTTTATCTATGTTGTAAGCCGCCCCGAGGCTTCGGCGAATGGGGCGGCATAAAAATGTTTTAATAAATAAATAAATAAATAAAATACTACGGATGTCCGAACAGCAGGGAGGGAACCAGTATCTCCCCCCTCTGAAGTGGACGGAGAGTCAGGGTAGCATCACAGGGCAGGAGGCACTGAGAATCGCCAGTGCAGCTCTTCAAAGTGACCGAGTCACGTTGCCCAGGAGGAGACATTGCTCCCCTACTTCGCATGCACCTTCTACTGCTTATTCTCCCTTTTCAGCGCTTCTGAGTTGTCACTTCAGCACATGGACCCTGGCAGCTGTAAGTTAGCCTAAATGCGGCCTCAGAGGTTCATGTTCAAGTAGGTTGCCTGCTCCATTTTGGTGCCCCTTTGACATCTGAAATATACAAGGAAAGTGCCCGGGCATGTGGAATAGCCGTGGAAAACTGACAAAAAGAAAAAAGAAAGAATTTACAAACGCATTTGCCAGTTTTCTGCAAATGAAAAAAAAAAACTGTTGGCGAACCAGAGATGGGTGTCCCACAGTGCCACAGGGGCATTGGTGGAGCCAGGAAGTGTTTACTTTTGAGAAATACATATCTGCAGAGAGATAGCTGCTAATACCCAGTTCAAAATTTCCATGTAACAATCAGAAAATATTGAAAGCTCTGTCTGAAAATCAATATTATGAAATCATTGAAGACTGTTACCATTTTAGAAAACCTACTTTTGGGCTTTTTTCAAAGAGAAAAGATATAATTAAAATGCTTAAATAAACAAACATGCTTCCTGGGGATAGCTAATTAAATAATAAAAATAATAACAACAACAATGGCCGCTTTATAAGTGGGCAGTTTGACTGTTCAATCACTTAGGTATGATTGCTAGTGTATTTTGTAAAATTAATATTTTTAGAAATGGAAAGTTCCACAGAAAACTATAGTAGTAAACTTCATACCAGATTGGTACTCTTGCATTGCCGGCCTTGCATGCCTGTGTGCCTTTCTACTTCCTGACTGACCAGCGACCACCCCTGACACTAAGAGACATTTCAGAAGTAGCTTGTGATGGGGCTGAAGTGGAATGGGAACTAATGAAGATTTACTAAAAAGGATCCAGGAGTCGTTTACAGGTCCTCGTGATATGCAAACTGGCAAACAGCACTGAGTAATCTAGCAATGTTTGAATGCATCTTGTGGAATTTTGACTCAAAAAATTCTAGATCCCGAGATCTAGACCTCTTGGCTAAGAAGGTTGAATTTCAGCAAATGTCTTTCATGAAGCAGTATTCTTATAGCAAAAATTACACTGGCATTGAAAGTTGCCGTTATTGCTAAAATTAAGTGGCAAATCCATTTGTAATGGGGGAAAATGCCTTTCATTTTATAGGTGGAAATATCAAAAAGCAATTCATGCAAGCATACCAGTTGTAAAGCTGCTCAGTTAACATCATTTTTTCTGAAAATATATTTTACTTTATTTTCTCTAATTACACAGCATAATGGCAAATTCTGTTGCTTTGATTTGTGGGGTATTGGCACAGAACTGCATGGGTGGACCATCCCTTCACTTTATCGAGTGGCTTCTGCGGAATTAGTCATTTTAGAATGTTGAGATTTCTTGAAAACCGCTGATATTTCTCAGAATGCATTTGGTATAAAGCTGTTGTCTTCACAATTCTCTAAGTAGCAATGTCGATATTAACTTGTTTGCCTCTTTGACATGTCTGCATCTGCCCACATGATGCGAGTATTTGAACTGCTTCTGTCCCAGCAAGCTGCATGTTGGTGCGTGAGCTGGTTTTGAGGGGGGCTTTTCGAGAAGGCGCCTCCACCATTTAATTTTCAGGGAACTGCAGGGTTTCCCCAGAATATAGTTATGGAAATGTCATCTATTTCAGCTTTACAGCCGTAGAAGGGAGTGTGTTGGAAAATCACAGGACATTTTAAATGCAGTAAGCAAACACTCTATTTTAAGTTAACTTTTTAAACTTTCTGCAGTTTTTAAAAACACGATTCCCTTCCTTAGCTTCTTGCTAATCCTTTCTTCTGGTGTCCATTCTTCTTTTTAATTCTTTCTGACCTTGCCTAACCACTCCATTTTAATAGAGTCCATTTGAGGCAGGGTGCCACCAGTATATTAGGCTTTATTTGTTTTGGCAGTGAATTTTAAAATATTCTGGAATCCTGTTCTCAGGCTCAGACAGCCAGCTAATAAATTATCCTTTGCTGCCAATAGATGGAGCCGAATCATTTTGCGCAGTGTGCAAGAGGCGGCCAGGACGGCGAGTACCGCAGGCTAAATCTCAAGAGAGAGCCTGGACTTGAAATTATTTTTCCCCTGCGTGCATTTGCTTAAAGCACTCAGGTCTTGGTTAAACTGACAACTTATTTGAAAGCTTCCAAGCCGCATTACTATGTTTAGGAGTCACTGTTTTAGAAACCAAAACTGTTTTGTATAGAGGTTTATCATATGACAGCCTTCCCCCCACCCCGTTTTTCTTGTCTCAGGGGAAAATAGTTTTCTCGCCACACAGCCCTGTGCGCAACAGGGGTGTTAACCGCTTGTGAGTCCGAAAGGGTTTGTGCCTTTTAAACCGTTCAATTCAAAAGGGTTTGTTAATTCTTAGTTATTTGTTTCCTGAATCATTAGCTGAAGTTAGTATGAGTAACTGAAAGAAAGAAAAGAAAAACTGAGGGAAGCCCATATCCACAAAACCAGCCCGAAAGGTGGAGACCAGAGTTTTCTTTCGCTTAGCGGAAGAATGCCAGCAGTGTCCTGTTTGAAAACTGTGAGACATGCAATGGTGGCTTCAGTCTTGTTTTAAAACAGTAGAAGGCAACATTTCAGAAGAAATCGGTGTCTCCCCAGCCCCCACCCCACTTTGTTTAAATAGTTGAAGCATCTGGCCTCTTGAGCATTTCGGAGCGATGTGACACTTGGCTTATTTATGCTTCGTAAAAAAGAGAATTGTCTCTCGCTTTCATTACATAGTTCCTCAGTGGTGGGATTTTACTGCTGCTTGTGCAGCAATAAACATACTATGTAGGGGATTTATTTTTGGTCTTTAATGGGGATGAAAATATTTCATATTTAAAACAAAGTAGAAAACTTACCTGTGAAAGAAAGTGTTCTGCAGATACAGCAGTGTGAGGCTCTGTTTATGGTCAGATTGATGAAATGTAATTGCTGTTCAGAGGAAAATAACAGTTTTATCACATATTTGGCTTCCTGTGTGCAGTGACGTCTTCCGTTAGCAAGCTCAGACTACAAAAACCTACAGTTCTGTAAGAAACAGGAACTTGGTGTCACATAATTCAAACCATACACGTTGCATCTTTAGCAGGCATAAGGCTCAGTCATGTGACTTTAAAGTTCGAATTGACATATGCAGGGGGATATTCTGGTACTCCAGAACAGAAAAGTAGTGTTTAGCCCTATATTTTTGAGTCTGTGAGGCCATCCAGTGGCTTCTCACTCAGAGTTTGAGTCATACGCTAAAAATTTTAAAGTATTCTTCCCTCAGTCGTTGAAATCTGAAAGTATGTTTTCTGAGACTCTTTGCATTTTGAAATGCAAAAGGATAGATTAGAGCTTTAATTTATTATTTTTAATCACCTCCCCCCCCTTCCCGTAACTGTCCCAAGTTTAGAAACAGATGAGGAGCCTGGAGTACTGTGGCTGGAATGACCTGGGAATGAAGATTGCTAGTTTTAATCCGTGCATTATTGTGTACTGGAAGAATAATGGAGGAGTGTCTTTTAAAAGGCCCATTGTCCAAGACAAATGCATTAACCTATCATACATTAAGAAGTTAAGCTTAAGGTGTAGCATGTTCGTCTGCTCTCCACCGACTCTTACGGCTCCTTCACAGCTTACAATCTGGATTTGCCACCGGCTCTACTCTCATTAGGATAGTGAAGTTAATTGCAGCTTCCTGATGTGTTTGTCATGTCATTTATTTGCAAGCCAAATTATATATTAGTATATAAAATGTGGAACAGGAAAACATGGAGTAATTAAATAAAAAAGCACAGTGTGTTTGAACTAAGATACCCCTGTTGACCTTCGTACTGAGGAATCAGGTTTGCTGTTCACTGAGAAAGCAGTTCAGGGCTTTGGCATGAAATTTTGAAGCAAGTTTTGATTACCTTCCTGGAAAAATAACCTGCTATATAAATTCTATCAGCAACCCAAAGATGTGTGTCGGCGACATACAGGTATGTAAGGGGGTGTCACACGGAGGTGGGTAGAGACCTGTTCTCCCCTGCAGAGGAAGGCAGAACGCGCTCCAGCAGAGCAAAGCTCAGGGAACCCAGGTTCAAGTTGCATGCCAGGAAGCACTTCCTGACAGTCAGGTGTGGAATGGGCTTCCACGGGAGATGGTTGAGGCCCCATGGGTGAGGGTGTTCAAGGATGGGCTGGACGTCCACATGGTGGGCATGTCATGAGCGGAGCCAGCTGGTGCCGGAGGTCAGACTAGATGACCCGGGAGGCCCCTTCTGACTCGCTCTATGTTTCTATATTTAAAATAGAATAACAGAATTAAAACAGCAGAAACTGAACAATTAAAATGCCAAGAAAACAAGGCCTTCATTTGGTGCCAGAAAGAGAACATAGGGTCCAGGCGGGCCTCTGGGGAAGCCATTTCCACAACCAGGGTGTCATAACCGAAAAGCCCTTTTCTACCTTTCTTTTGGCAGGAGCTCCTTGGGAAGAACCATTGAGGAGAATCTTAGGGTTTCGACAGTTGTATATTGGAGGCAATCCTTCAGGTAACCTGCCCTGAAGCTGTTTAGGGCTTTGAGAGTTAGCACCAGCACTTTCAGTTGGACCCAGAAGCACTGACATAAAATGATAACATTAGCCAATCCCCATTAGCAGTCTTGCTGCCCCGTTTTGGACTGGCTGAAGTTTCTAGACTGTTTTCAAAGATAGCTCCACATATAACTTATTGCGGGAGTCTGGATAAGAAGATATGCGGGCATGGACTGCTGTAGTTAAGGCTGTCTGTCCAGACAGGGGCATGGTAGATCAGCCAGAGCTCCAACCATTACTCTATGCTGCCAAGTTTACCCATGCCTCTGGTGACATTGTTGGATCCAGGAGCACCCACAGACTACAGACCTGTCTTGTGCTTGAGACTGAGATACGGAAGCTGTTGTAATGTTTAGGACCTAGATAGGGAACGGAAAGAAATGTGTTAGAGCATTCAGTGAATGAAATTTTCCTTATTAGCACCTTCTGCTCTCTCGTTTTCTCAGACTTTTAAATAAGAGCTGCAGAACCTTAACCTATCTGAAAAAGGCTAGAGAGTCTTTCTCCTAATGGGAGTAGCATTTTTCCCCCGTGATTAGCATCTCCAGGTAACTCTTTGTAACTTCTTTGTAACTCCAGGTAACTCTTTGTAAGTGTTAAAATGGCACGCTGGGGTATTCCAAGTATCCCGTGCAGGGCGCTGTGGGTAGCAGTTACCTCTTTCATTTTGAAGCCCGTGTTAATGTGCGTAGGGGAAGAATAATGGCCCAGCAAAATTATTGTTGTTAATGTAATTGAGACTGACTTTGAAGCTGGCAGTTTAGTGAGTATGAAGCAGGCTTGTCGAGTGGGGTTTTTTAGCTCCATTACCTCTGAGCTTTCAACAAAGCCTGGGAGCATGATATGAACTCTTTCGAGGCAAAGGAAAGAGGATGTGAGCTTTGGCTTGATTGTCACTGGTAGGCCCTGCAAAGTCCCCTGTGTTGCAACTGCATACCTAAAACCAGAAGAATACCGTTTGTTTAAAATACGGGTGACCAGTCCATGCTGCAGAGAGCAGTGGTCTGTGACGCTCCTGGACTGGATCAGAAAGGCAGTCCTACTGTAGCATGCACAGGAATCGTGCTTTCTGAAGCTTAAGCAGTACAATGTTACATAGGTAGATCCCCCCCCTTAAATGGGTGCTCATCACACAATCCATTCTGAGACGATCCTAGAATAAAGGGAATGGATGAAATTATATTAAGCCGAGTTCTCCAGTTAACCACAAGGTGGAGTTTTTGGAAGGTGAGCAATTAACTGTGAATTACCATTGCCAAGATGGGACAGAGAAACTGGATTTGTCCGTGGAGCAGGGGATGATACCGCTTGCATGGCCAGTTCTCCCCATCCTTTGGTAATATCAGAAACTGGAAATCGTAGCAAGGAGAGGAATTGTCTTTGTGTGTTTCTGTCATTGTTCAAAAGTAATCTAAACCACCGATTTAGATTCTCATGAACAGGCCACAGTGAGCCTTGGCTACCCTGACCCCCCTTTTTGCATAAATGGAAAGCATGTATTTTGACTAAACATAGTTTTTCTCATTACCAGCTAACTAGAATTACCACTGTTCCCAAAGTTGTACATCAAAGGGAAGCAAGGTTTGGACAAAAGGGAATGTGGAAACTTCCTTCTCCTCCTCTTGTGCAAGGGGAGAATCCATGTCAACCTGAAACTCACCATGGCTCCTTCCTAGTCCTCTGAATCATGGTTCAGGTTATTCCTGAACTGGGACATTGTAATCCAGTTGATTGGTGTTCTATCTTGAGGGTGTTCTAATCCAAATACATTTCAGCTAGCGTTTCCTGTTACTAACTGAATGTGTCTATCTGGATGACCACCAGTAGCATGTGCACAGGATTTGCTCTATAGATAGAGCATCCACTCGGGTTAGGAAATGGTAAATATCAATATTTACTTAATGTATTTACTAGTAAAGCCTCCTCGGAAGAGTTCAGATATAGATATAGGGGGAAGTGGTTATCTTGGTATTCTGGTCCTAAGTCATTTAGGAGTTTGCACATTTACAAGACCTTGAGTATGGTTTGATGGTTAATAGACTGCAGTGCAGTGATTTTAACACGCGTGCCTCTGTCCAGCTATTTCAGTGAGTCAGCTTCCTGCAGAGCATATTGCGGTTGCCTCCTTGAGGCATTGCCACTGCCGGGCTGGTCATATCTAGCGATGGACATTGCCATCCAGTCGTTGTAATGGATGCTTGGAGACCCTGGACCTCAGCTAGGCCTTGAGTCATGGTAGAGCTGGAAGTGGCCCGAGGGGCACTGGATGCAACCCCTGCTTAGTGCAGGCCTCCAGGGTGAACCATCCCTCTCAGATGGCTGGCCAGTTGCATCTGGAAGGCCTCTAGTGTGCGAGAGCCCACACTCTCTGCAGGTCATCGGTTCCATCGTCAGACTGCTGCAGCAGTACGGAATCAAGACATTTTTCCTGATCCGTGGCCAGAGTCTGGCTTTCTGTAACTTGAGCCCATTATTTGGTGTCCTGCACTCTGGGATGATCAAGAAGAGATGCTGGCCTTCCTCTTTGTGACAGCCTTTCACATACTTGTAGGGCGCTATCATATTCCCCCACTCCCCCGCCTTCTCTGCTCAAGGCAAAACATGCCCAGTTCTTTCAGTCTCTCCTCATAAGGCTTTGTTTACAGTCCCTGGATCATCCATGTTGCTCTCCTCTGAACCTTTTCCAGCTTGTCTAGCGACAAAGATGAATCCAAGAGCGCTCCCAAACTGTGGATCTGTTCGTTTAGAAAAAGCGCATTCCCATCCGGAACCAGTGAACGAGCCAGTTCCTGCATCTGGGAACCACCCAGGATCTTAGCCACCTTGTTCTGCCTTGATGGTGTTGCTGGATGCTTTCCTTTGTTTGGTTTGGGGACAAACTTGCTGCTACTTGTAACCTACCATGAGAAGACAAGGAGAGCCAACATGGCCAACTCAGTGGCCATTATTTAACACCCGAAGAGCTGCAGTGCATGCTGGGAGGCATTTGGATTTTACAACCCTGGCACCTGAGCAGTATTTACACTTGCATGACCCTACAGCAAACTGAGGGTTATTTCTTGGTTGTTTCACCTTCAGATAATCCTTGGTGGTCAGGGTCATAAGAGCATGAAAGCTCCTGAGCACGGGTAGTATATTCAGCATGTCGCACGGTTAAACAAGGTTAAACAAGGCAGAGTGAGCCTACCTTGTTGTGCAACCCAGACGACCCTTCGGGCTGTGAACTGTGGGTTGTTTAACTGTTGTGTTGCAAATTTGGTTGCCATGCAAAAGGCGCTCTGTGGTAGCTTTGCCTCTCTTCTAGAATGGAGAGTTGCATGGAAAAACCCTGTTGGGCAGGGAGATCTCTGCTGTTGGGCAGGTTCATGCAGAGGAAGGTTCTCTGATATCTGGACCCCAAGCAATGTAGGGCTTTAATGCTCAGTACCATCAGTTTGCATTGAGCCCAGCTCCAAACCTTCATCGCTGTGGCCAGGGTCAGTCTGACAGCCACATACTTCATCAGCTTCATGTTCCCCAACATTACAGCAGATTACGGTAGTTTGGGGCCTGGGTATTGTCCGAGGTTGCATAACTGTGCCCAGGTTAATTTAGCCTACTGCCCTCTTGCCTGCATCACTATTTTCTATTGGTGGAAAAAGTATTTGAATCTGAGAAGGTTTAAGCAATAGCAACAATGACACCGGTGGAGACTGAGGTGAACATTTTTATTTGTTTATTAATTTGACATAATTGTCTCCCCTGTCAAGAGGAGAACTACACATCATAAATCATTTTCAAAAATACTAATCTGTACTCTGAGAAAATAATACTGTTAATAATGGCACTCTTGTGCTGACTTTCTGTACACATAAACCTTATACAGTACTCTTTAATGGTCTAGAGGTTTATTCTAAAATGGTGATATATCTGTGTCTTCGGAAATAATTTAATAAATTCTTTAAAGTATTCTTTGTACATCAGTAGACTGCTCCTATCTGCAGATACACAGTATTGTTCATGGTAATGCTCAACAGGTTGGCTCATATTTACAAAGAAACCAGAACCCTTCAGACATTGAAATGTAAAGGCCCCACATTTGATTATTAATTTTGAGAACAGGTTTCCATTCTTGTTAATGTTCTTTATCTTCACTGCTTATCATTTTCCTTAAATCCACTCTGTTTTTTACTGGGATACAGATGGCAAACTTGTTGTCTCTTTAGAAATTTACTTGTATGCTTATCTGAAAATCACTCCAGATCCAAATTTTTTAAAATATACGTGGCTGCTGTACTTTGTGTTTGGTATTTTCGTGGAAAGAATATCACATCGGGTACTTGTGGTACATTATCAGGAAAATAGCTAAAATACCAGTTTCTCACATGCACGCTCCCCTAGAAAAGTAAACCAGTCTAAATGGAAAAAACAGGCATTTGAAATTACGTTGCAGAGTAATACTGTTCCTTAAGCAATATGCAAACATTGTGAATATGTTTGAAAATATAGGGCAGTCTTGGCACTGCTGGTTTGTACAGATGGTTACACAACAAAGAGATTGAACGTTTCTTTGTACCTAAAATACTGCCTTTTTCTTTTTTGCAAAGCACCAAATTAACCTTTCTAAAATACTTACAGTGAAACTTAAACCAAGTTTGCTATGTATGTATTTCCAAGCACACACCCCTGAAGTGCAAGATGCCAGTGATCTAACCTTTTTGATCAAGTGAAGGCAGAATGCTGGGCTGTTCATATTTAGACGGGCCTGTCTGCTCATTGCAAGGATTAATCCTGGGGTTTGTGGCTATCTCTAGAAGCAAATAGACAAGAAGTAGGACAGAAAATGATCATTCTAAGCACGCTTAGGGAATAAAGCTTGTTGAGTCCAGTGGGACTGATTTCTGAATGAAAAGGAGTAAGCTATTGTGTAGTTATTTACGTGAGATGAAACAAACAAAATGGTGCAGGCAAATCAACATGAATTTTGGATAAATGTGGGTTTTCTGAAGCAGAGAATTGAGTGGCAAAAGGAATTAAATAGATTTTGACTTCCAAAAGCGTGTGATCCTTGTGGAATTGAAACCGAATTCTAGTGCCAGTTTACTTTCCTTCTCCTGCTTTTCTGTTTAATTTTCCTCTTTTTAGAGAACACCTAGAGGCATTCATCGCACCAGAATCTAGCGTTAAATATTTGCATCTTAAAGGTCATGATAGAGAAGGGTAGGACAATAACATGACTGGTGGTCTTGTAGCTTGGAGCTTCGGTGCCTAAGAAAACAGCAAAGGATATTGTGCTTGACATGATGTCTATTCAGGATGTGAATTACCATGTCCGTATTGGAAAGCAGGACAGTTTTAGGTCATGCATTTGATAAAGCTCTTTTTGTATCTGTAAAGACACATCAGTAAGTACATCCTAAGTGAATCTGGTGGCTTGCTATTCGAGCCCACAGACCTAAGATGTTCAGTGCTGTGAATTACTCTTCCATATTTTAGTAAGCTCACAGTCCCAGGCAACACTGGCCTAGGAAGAACTTGCAGCAGGGCTCTGGCAGGCAGCATTTTGCAGGTGCAGACCCTGAAGAGGTCAGTCCTAGGCCTGCTGCTCATTTCATTGCATAAATGAATACATAATACATTGCATAATACGGTTGCCGGAAGTGTTTCCTTAAAGAAACATATGGGGAAAGGACAGGGACCGTTGCCCAACTCCTGCCCAGGCTGAGGGCACTTGAGAGCTTTGGCCTCTCTTTTCCAGCACTGGCAACTGAATCTGACCTGTAGCAGGCAGCAAGTACAGTTTTGACTAGACAGTTGGAATTTGTACGATCGTTGGTCAGCTGAGAGATTCATGCTGCCTGCTGGTCATTGGCCTTCTTTGGGCCTAATGAGAACTCTGTGCACGGGCATGCAATAATTCAGGAGGCTAAATCCCTGTCTTAGGCAATATATTTCCTGTTGCAAGCTCCATATTCCATGACTTCTGCCTCTGCTGCCCTTTCAGCAAACACGTGACTAGGTATCAGTGGCTGTGTTTGGAGGAGGACGACTGGTAGCGATGTGTATTACGCCACATCACATATTATACTCAGATAAATCATACTGATCTTAGCTTTGCAAAGCATATGAACAGCACCTCTTGTAATGGAGAGATCTGGGAAATCATTTCGTTAAACTGGAGCTGTGAGAAGTGGTTTTGGAAATCCATTTTGAGTAGACAGCTTTACAGAACGTGAAGAGAAACCTGAAGAGTATAAAGGAGAAGAGTCACAGTTATTTCCTGCCTCTATTTCTTATTGTGTGAAAATGCTAGCAAAAGGAAGGAAAGTGGAAGAAACCTCATTTCTCTCTTACTAATACTATTATTTTGATGTTAAAACAGACTGGGTGATTGTGGGTGCAGAACAGGAAATACTAAAAAGTAAGCCACCCGAAGAGACAAGTGAAATATTCTGTGTAATACGGAACAACAAGGTAGAAGAAGAAAGCAGTGGTGTATAGTTTTGAATCACAATGCACTTTGAACACATACTGTTATGCTCATATACCAGATAGTCCTTTATGCAGGCAAATGGCAACAGAGCAGTTAATTATGGGAATTAAAGAGAACTTGAAAAGTGTATTCAATAAAAATGTGAATTTAGTATGTTGCTGAGAAAAACTAAGTATTACTAATAGGAAAACCTGAATCGGGTGCGAAGAGAAGAATGTATGTGTATTAAAGTGCAGAGAAAAGGGAAAATACTTATGTGCATGGTTAGCCATTTTAGTTGCTGAATTCTCCACGCACAGTGCTCTCTGTGTGTTTGTGTAGCAAAGCTGGGAACCGTTCTCTGTTTCTTCGGGTATATCGGAGGCACATCTGCATTCCCACGTGGAGGGTGCGGATTTCCCTCTGCCCCATGCAGCCCCTCAAACCGCACTGCATCTCTTGCCCTTTGAGTGTAGCTTTTCTGGAGGCTGGAGGGGGGCTGCAGCGGGAATAAAAAGGGCCCAGGTGAGCATCAGACATCCTCTGAATCTAGCTTAGGCTCGCAGTTTATACTGGGTTTCCACATCTGACAAGAGGAGCGGGCAGCAAAGGGAAGCAAAAGACTTGGGCCAAAGCAGCACAGAAGTCCCGCTCCCAGTACATTCTGTGCACTGTTTATTCACACTGTACTGTGGCACAAGCTAGTAAGAAACTCAGTAAATTGCATCACTTCCCAAAAGACAATCATTAAATTGCATCACTTCCCAAAAAACTCTCATCAATCATTATCTAAATTAGAAATTCATTTTTGCAGTCCTTTAAAGCTGCTCCTTTAATGCATGTAAATAATACCTTGAAAATGCTGATTCATTCAACTGTAAAAAGAACATGTCCGTATGAATATTTATGGACCATAATGAATAATTTCCAGAGGTGTAGCCATATTAATCTCTTACAGCAATAATGACAAAGAGTTTTGTGGCACCTTAAAGACAATTTTACTTTGGCATAACTTTTTTGGACAACTGCTCTCTTCAAAAGTGGGCAGTGTCCACTAAAGCTTATGCAAGAATAAATTAACGATTAAATAGATGTTCTTTAACTCTGTCTGATTTTTAATTATCTTAAAATTGCCAACATCTTTGTCTTTCATTTTCTAGATAAAATATTTTAAAAACGTTCTTAAAATGTGGCTACTAGTGACTGAAATGTTTTGTGTTGCAGGGACAACTGACTTTTTGATAAGATGTAAAAAAATGAATACATTAGAACAAGTCTTTGACTAGTCTGTTTTAAAACTGCAAATAAATGTTGCTTTAAATCAGGGTTTTACAAAATCTCTCTTATATTAAATATTAAAAACATTTTATCTTTGATCCTTCATTGTTTAGACTATTACATAATTTTGACCAGCTTGATCATTAGTGGATATTATTTTAACTGAAAAGGTGCTATCCTCACCTTGAAATAAAACTACTTTGCACAATTAAAATCATATTTTATATGGAACATAAAGATACCTCTTTTCGCTCTATGAGATTACAAAGTGCTGGGTGTTAGTCAAAGCCTTCAGTTGGCCCACTAGTGATTTTCTTTAGACAGAATTACTAGAGCAAAGCTCATACTGAGTAACTGAATCAGTGCATTGAACGTCTTGGAAATTATGGGGTTAAGCCACAGACAGATTCTCAACAGTGTTCTCCAACCAGCTTCACTACCTGTGCAGGTTAAAACTGAGCTGCTGGTTTACAGTGTAATCCCCTTTTCAGCATCCTTGCTAAGTGGCCTCCATGTGAAAGTATCTTGGAGAATAAGCTTTGCAAACCAGGTACTGGCCCACCAGCATTCAGTCATACCTACGTTATAACTTGCTGAACAACTGTGCGCTCATGAGAGCAACCTTGACTCCCACAGTGGAGTTTTTTAAGCAGCCTTCGCAATTTATTTGGAAAGTTTTTGTTGATGTATCGGTAAAGGAGAGGCATGACAAAGCTGCTTGAGAAAGCCAAGAATTTTGACAGTCCTTTGGAAAAATGTAATATTCGAATGTAGTTTTCATCTGTGACTTTGCCTTGCATGCTAGTTAATGTGTTTACTAGAAGAATGACATAATAGGGTGTCCATAACGTGAACTGTGTGCAGACGGTAGCGATCAGAAGCCTGTGCACCGACGGGTCTAATCTCCCGCTGTCTTGGTCCAGTGGCGTCGCCTCCTTGCGTATTCGCAAGATCAACACCAGCGCATACAGCACCGCAATGGCTGGCACAACGTACCCGATGAAAACCATGATCGCGTCTGCGGCTTCCTTGTTCTGCATTTTGGAACATTCAATTATTTTAGAGGACACGTGGTTGCAGACATAGAACAGGAGGGACGAAAAACTGGTGAGCATGGCTCCTCCCCAGATAAATCCGCATACATGCTTCGTGTTGTATACACTGGACATGTAAGTCCTCGGCAGAGCACGTTCGATGTAGTAGTCCAAACTTAGCAATGTCGTTGAGTACATGATAACGAGGGAGGATACGTTGAATAAGATAAGCAAGGTGATGTAGACTTCATTGTTGAAACTCCAGATGGCCCATTTTGTACTGGCAGGTCCTAGAAGGTACATTGGTGCGATCGCGTTGATGATGAGGCCAGCGACTGCAATATTGACGAAGTAAACGTCTGGCATGGTCATGGTTGCTTTGTTGTACAGGTTGACCAGGACCAACAGGGCATTGTAGCAAAGGCCAATTGGGAAGCAGATGATGAGGTAGAGCAGTGAAAAGAGAGAGAGGACCAGGTGGAAGTCATGGCAGAGGTGCTGGTCCCCTGTGCCTCTGGTGCTGTTGAAAGCGTCGCAGCTCCACATAGTGACCTTCAAGTCGGTGTTTTTTCCGCCGGTTACCAGCTTTGCTAAATGCAGAAAAAGGAAGACACGAAATATGCTTTAAAAAGGAGAAATTCTATATGTCTCTTAACCGTATATACCAAGCAATTTAGACATTTAAAATATTGATAAAATCACTGTGAGGAGTGGTATGTAAAGGTTAAGTCTGTTGTCAACTTGTTTATGCCTGCCCAGGAAACTTAAATCTTGACTGACAAATTTTCATATGTTGTTAAAGTTATCAGTGATGATATACATACAGCATGATGGCTCTTTGTTCCCTGGCTTTTCTGTGTTTCATCTTGGATAGTCGTTGCTTTAGTTCAAACAATTGCTGCTTTTGGATTGTTAGTGAAGTGTTTATTAACTAAAGGATCAGTAATAGTGTTGATCTGAACATGGCGTTTTCCATGACTATTTTCACGCCTCTTTTCCCTATTGTAGAATATTACTTACTAGATTTCTTCCATATCATTTTAAACACTAACACTGTTTATTCCTTAGAAATTTTAAGTGCCTTCCTTTAATAATTTGTATAGCACTTTGATGTGCTGTCTGTCTTTCAGTCCTTCATGTTGTAGCCTTCCTTTCTGTCCTTTACTCTTGCTCCTTTAAATGGATCCTTAAAGCTCCAAGGCAGCTCTTGTTAAGGTCAGAGATCTGACCCCTGGAAGAGGAAGAAGAGGGACGGATGAGGAGGTGTTGGGGGGAGGGGAGAAGCTGTGGATCTGCTGGTCTCTTGAGCTCATGTAAATGCAGTTTTGGAGAGCAGGAACACTAAACAGCCTCTGCTATTCCTGCTGCCCCACGGGGCTTTTGCCTCCAGGGCTCAGGCTAAACACCCATACATTGCTTCCCCAGTAGTATAGCTGCGCTTGCACACATTCATCCCATGTTGATCTTGCCCACCCCCTCACATTATTCTCCCCCACTGTCCAAATGTAGCATCTAAGCTCTGTGGGATAGCGAAATCTCAGATATAATATAAAGGCAGAATCAAGTGGCACACGGAACAACTTAATATGGACACCTGGCTTCCTTTTTTCTATAAGAAAGCAAAATTATTCTAGTAGTAAATACTTAACTACTGGAATGAAATGTTACTTAGGAGCAGGATGAAGTAAAGCTGGTAGAGACCTCAGGGACTTGGGTCCAGGCACTTGCTCTCGACCCAGCCTACTTCATGGAGTTGCGTAGGATGAACTGGGCTGGGGGAGAGCTTACTTTGCATGTCCAATTACACATCGCTCTTCCATCTCAAGAACCAAGCCATTTCCAAAGCTTTCAACAGGCACAGAGGTGGCGAGATAATTTCTGACAACTTGCTTCTCTTGACATACAATGTTTTCCCTGCAGGAGCATCAAATGAATATTTTATAATTGCTTTGATCATGACTGAGTTTAAAGATACGTTATTATTTCTTACAGTAATTTCCTCTTTTATTAAACTACAGGATTAGCTGAAGCTACTTTATGACTCTTAAATAACATTCATCTAAAAAGAGAAGCCATGCAATGACACTTCAACTTTAAAAGAATTAAAATACTGTTTGATCCTTTAGCGTGGACATTATGGACACAATGAAACGTACACTGGGGATACTGATCAGAACTGTCCGTGCAAACAGACAGCGGCTTACCAAGGTCTCGGAAAGAGATAGGCTATGTCCACTCCTTTAAAAAAAACAAAAAGCCGGAGATGGCAGAGATTACACCTAGAACCTTCCTCATGGGCGGCAGCCTGGCCCACCTGAGGGCAACGAGGAGCCCAGCGCATCCTGACTCGTGTGTCAGGAGCACTCGACCACGAGCGGCTGCTCTGCGAGTTCCTCACATTTCAGTTGTGATCGGAAGAGCCCCTTAAAGTACGCAAGTAACGTCATGCAGAGAAAGTGAACCACCTGACCGTTCTAGGTTTTATGGAATGTCACACTCACACTCCAAACGGTGTAAGTAATATAGTTAAAATCCCAGATGTATTGAAAACAAATGACTTTTTGTGGTCTGGTAAATGATTTCTTGTGGGAGAAGCGCTCTTGCATTCTTTCACATTATAGATTAATCAATCTCAGAGTCCATTATTATTATTTTTTTTAAAAAACTGTTTAGGGCCTTATCAGGAGCTTATCTCTAAAACCAAGGCTGAAATCTGCAAAAAAGGAATATATAGCTGCTGTTTGACTTAACAGCATGCCACACTACGTTCCTTCATGCTGTTTGTTCTTTTCAAAACAGTCGACTCAGTAGTCCTTTGAGAATAGTTATTGCAATTGTCAACACAATACCAAAACATACCTTATAACAGGTGACGTGTGTGAGTGTGTGCGCGCATGCCCGCCCACACACATTTTTCACAAGTTTGTTCTGATCTTTAACTACACTGCTGTATCTTTACAATATTTCATTGATCAAGTGCTCTTTTTGTAGAACGTTTCGCTTCTTTGATTTGACTGATTTCTCATAGCTGTCAGCCCCCCCCTTCCACCCCCACCTTATCCTCTTAAACGCCTACCTTCAGTTCATGCAGCACGTTCCTTTGTACTTGAGGGTCCAAATATGGCTGATAAATAACATTTCAGGTGAAGAAAGCATGCTGAAGGGTGTCTTATTTTCCCTCCTTGCGTACATAGTGATCCTCTGTGATCACCACGACTTAAACAGCTCAGTAGTTTGTCTGCGTATGTGCTGCACTTGTTTTTCCTCTAGTAAATTACTCACAAAGTTTCTGCTTGTCTTGGCAAACCACGGCTAACTCCTCCCTTTCTCTGTTTACAGCCAGATTCAAGAAGGGGGAGGCATTGGAGAGGGGAGTGGTTCCTGACATTACACTGTGCTGAGTCTTGTCTGCTTCCAATTGATTGGTAGAAAGGGAGATGTTCCTGGAATACACCGGTTTGGTGTTGGGTTACAGCTGCTTTGCTTTGCTTTGCTTTGCTTTGCTGAATTTCATCTGGCTAGAAATTTACTGCATTCTCACTGAAAAGCAGGTTTGCCGTCAGCTGGCAAATTCCACTGGGAGTGTGAAATGTCTTACTGGGAAACTGTTACTGGGAAATTTATGGTCCTTTGAAGCAAGCTAGCATACCTAAAAACAAGCAACCAAATGCACATTTATTTTGAATTTAAAAGTTTCACAGCTGACCGCCATGCCATATCACAAACTGTGTTTTGAAACTCCCGTCTGTTTCAGGAGCAATATTGTGTGCACTGCTTTTTCAGACAAATCAGTCTTAAATCTAGTTCAGAAGTTCTTCAGATACTGATCAAGGAAAGTTCTTACTTGCTCATGCAAAAAAGCTCATTGCTGAACTTTCAAATCATCAGTAAAACAGCCTCATCCTATGACTGGAGAACTTTTCAAGGGCAGCAGTTTGGGCAGTTCAGGAACACAAAATTTAATGGCATACTCATGTTTCCTAAATGGCATGAAAAGGATCGAGTAGATGCACCATTGCAGAAGGTGAGAATTAGGTTGTCAGATAGTACCTTGCTTGTAATTGCTTAGACTAATTAAAACATTAGCTAAAATGGAACTGAAAGGTTGTTACTGAAACATGAAGCTAATATCCATTAAGGCCTAAGAGCGAACTCTCCCGCCTGTACTTTGTCTGATGGTTGTGCATGAGGCTTGTGGGTTGCGAATGCTTAAAGCTAATGGTACATCCTCCATAATTTAATTATGTGTTGTGTGAAGAAGGCCTTCCTCTTTTGCCTCTGTTCTGAATCTCACGCCAGTTGGCTTCATGGGTGACTGACTACCTTTGATGCTAGTATTATGAAAGAGAGAATGCAATGTCTTGTTTACTTCCTTCACACCAGGCATAATTTATACGCGTGCGTCATGTCACTTCCTTACTCTGCTTTTTGTCTAAATCAGACAGTCTCAAATTTTGTAACCTTTCCTCACAGGAGACTTTCTCTAGCCTATTGATCATTTTAGTTGCCTTTTTCTGGCTTTACAATGACCAGGTTTGGATGATTTGTTGACCCATGAATATTCCTCAACTGGATGGCATAGACTGTTGAAGAAGGAACAACTTGGAATGTTAACCAAGCTACAAACCATGGGCGAAAACTCTGGGTGGTTTCTTCCTCAACAGTAGCCAAACCCCAACCACCCTAAATAATCTGATCTTCGCGACATACTTGGGCACCTCATCTCTCACACCAGCCCTCGATCATTTATGTTGGCGGGTAATTGTCTTGTCTTGCACGCATTATAACATGCCAGTAAATTTCAGATGGAGCCTTAGCTCATTTTTATAAGCTGAGTGGATGTTATGCTTGCCAGAATTCCACCTGCCAATTCTTCTCACCTCCACAACAGACCACAGTAAATGGTGAATTAAGAACATACTCTTGGTTGGTCCAGATTTCTGCAGTAGGTTGTATCAAAGTCAAGATTAAACAAAATAACAATGCTAATACTAAATGCTGTGGCACTCTTACAATCTTGCAGGAATTCTTTGTGTACCAGCTTGAGAATCAGTTAGATACTATGCTTGACTAATGAATTAGAGCGTGGCACTTCACCGCTGTAAGATCTAATGGGCATCTCCATGGGCAGAGAAACTGTTACTTGCCAAGAAGAGCAATTCAGAACTAGTTCAGCCAAAGGAGAATTCGTATTCAGGAGAGTAAAAGTGCAAGTGCTTTGCATGATTTCTGAGGCCAATAACCGGGGCTCCTTTAGTGTTCTGTGTTCCTGCCATGCCGATCAAATTCCATGAACACGCTGAAGTCATATTTGGTAGGGAGGGCAGGTTGGGCAATAGGATAATATTTCACCTGCAGCTGTCTGACTCACCATTATTTATAAAACAAGCTTTTGATTAAACAGAGATAAAATGTCTTTTGAATTAGTGTAGAAGAAAATCCTGCTTGGTCCAGGGTGTTGCCATGAATAACCTGCAGCCCTGTTACCAAGCTTGCCATTGAGGATTGCATGGAGGCGCCCGTGACCAGTTTGTCTGGTGGGAGAATTCCAGCTCAAATACATCAGATGAAGACGTCAGCACCGTGTAGTGAAGTTACCGCTCTGTGGCATGTAAGGAAACACGATAATTTTCTAATGCATTTCCTATTTTTGCCCAATGATCAAAGCATGTCTCCTCCTCTTTCTTTTCACTTTTCTTGTTTGGCTTCCCTGGTGTTTTTATTATGCTCCTAAACCACAAAACCAAATCTGTTTTTGGAACTTTGTGAGCTGGGTGAAGCTGCTGAAAATAGGACTTGTACTGGAGAAACAGGTGAGAAGAGTTACGTACCCAGTGCCAAGTGCCATCTCCAAATTCTCCACTCTCAAAGTAGCTTTTCATTTTTTTTCTCCTTCCTTCCTTCCTTCCTTCCTTCCTTCCTTCCTTCCTTCCTTAAGAAAGTTGGAACTCAATTGCATGTTTATGGTGTAGTCAATCCCCTAGTAACTCCATTGTCATTATAATTAGCACAAGCCTGTTTTAGTGTACAAATTTGCTCTCAACCTCTGTAATTTTTAGTTTAAACCACCTCTCTCTCTCTCTCTCCCCCCCCCCTCCCCAAGTGCTTCTCATGACTATTTTTGATTAGGTTGCAGAGCCAAGCCCTTTCTCCAGGAGGCCCATTACAGGGTGCACAGTCTTCCTCCTGCTGCATTTATCCTCACAACCATCCTGCGAGGTAGGTCAGCCTGAAAGTCAGTCGCTGCCCCAAAGGCCCCTAGCGCTGCCGCCCAGATCTGCGTGCCTTTGCCTAGCCGTGCTTGGGAGCGTGAGCAAGAGGGCTGTCGCGCTCGGGTCCTTCCTGTGGGCTTCCCACCCGCAGCCCGCTGGCCGCTGCGCCTGCAGGATCTTCCCCAGAAAGGCCATTGGTCCCACGTGCCTCTTCTTAATGCATCCTCAGGAAAGAGAGGAAGGAAACTGCTCAGGAGGCAGAAGGAGGGAAAAGTTGGGCGTGTGCATTCAAAAGGGCACCTCCCGCGGTGCATCTTTGCCAGCCAAGTTTGGATTATGGAGCATCTTCGAACTAAAAGAAGCCTCAGTTATTACAGCAATTGAGATTGTTTGGAATGAGATCTTCCTCTCCCCCCCATCCAAAAAAAAAAATCAGTTATTTCAGGCCTGCTTTAGCTCCAGTGTGAGAAATTACAGTGCTGTTGATTTTATTGTAGTGCAGCTGTTATTTCAAAATTAAATATGCCTCAATGAGTTTGCCATCACAAAAACAGTTCATTCTCAAACCCAAAACTATTTGCTGGAAATACCAGAGCTTAGACCTTGCAAGATAGGCAGGGAGTGAAAGTCAGTACCAGAGGAGAGTTTTTCACAGATGCTTTTCTGCCAGTTGGAGAAGACAGGCAAGAGGCTGAGCTGGTACTTCTTCCAGAAGCCATTAGGCCGCATCCTGGCAATAGAGCAAGTGGGAGCTGACTGGAGGCTTTTTGCCATCAGCAGAGCGTCCGTGGACTGCTCAGGAGATGCCTTTTGAAGGGCAGATGACGGATATTTAGTAGGCTTTAGCCTTAATCATTTTTAACAATCAACAAGAGTGTAATTTCCCTAGCTGTTGTTCTGCTCATCAAATGTTATTTTTAAGGGAATAACATTCTCTGCCTCCTGCTCTCAATCTCATTCCCACAACAACAACCCTGTGAGGTAGGTTGGGCTGAGAGTCTGTGACTGGTCCAACGTCACCCAGTGGGCTCCATGGCCGAGCAGGGACTAGAACCCAGATTGCCTGAGTCCCCAGTCTTATCAGTGTCTAACAAAATAAACAAGCAGTTAACTACCTCCCTTTTATCATCCTAAACTGGGTGAGAGGATAGGAAACCGAGGCCGGCTTTTGCTGTTCGTCCCATTCGTCCCATGCCTGTAGGCATCGAGGCTTGGAGCTTCGTGGGCACTGGGACTGGATTGTGCCCTTGTGACCTCTTCTGTGAACCCAACAGAGTCTTTGGATTTCATATCTCAAATGATGTTCCTTCTCAGGCCTTGTTCCAGATGCAGACCACCATGTACCTTGAATACTTCCGTAGAAAGGGGAAACCAGGCAGAAACTGCTAATCAGCCGCACGAGAAGCTACACTGACTGAAATCTCATTTCTAGTCAACTATTAAACATACAGGATATTTAATAAAACTATTCATATACCCATTTAAAGGAACACTTACAAATGTTTCAGCTTAAAACTCAGAATCCAAAATGTATACGGAATATTTAACTATTGGCTTCCTGAAGCCAGGAAGATGATGTTTCAATATTTTTTTTCCCTCGTTTAGGATTTATGCTGCAGACAAAAAAGTTTGTTTCTAATTCCATGATTTGGGCAACTTCAGGGGTAGCTACATTAGTCCTGCTGCGGAAAAACCGGCAGTGTCTTGTGGGACCTTTGAAGTGCACAAATTCTACCTAGAATATGCTTTTGTAAACTAGAGTCCGCTTCAGGTGAATGCGTCTGAAGATGCTGCAAGACTGTTGTTTCAGATCAGAGAAGGTTTCTCCTTGGTCTTGCTTAATTCAGAGTAGACATGCAGGTACCAGACTTATGAGAACGCTGCATGTCTCTGTGTGAAACTTGCATTGCAAAATAGGATTAATGGTTGCTTCAAATGTTTATTGGCATTGAAGTACTGAGCAAAGTCTTATTACAATCTAATGAAGGGTTTGTTTTTTTTTTGGCTAATGATTTAATAAAAATGCAACTGAATTGCTGGTTAAGAGGTTCAGTTGATGACTCTAATATATTGCAACATAAAATACTTTATGTTTGTTGGGTTGTGTACCGATATCTTCCTCTTTTATCTGTTGGGATAGCTTTTTATTTTACGAGGGAGGGAAAGTAAATTATTAAGTGAAATGTATCGATCATTTTTGGAGCATACATTAAAGTTTTACAGGAAAATATGCAGTTAGGAAAGCTGATATATAATCAAGGTTTAATTAGATACAAGGCCCTCCTGTTGAGCCCTGCCTTCTCTTTCAAAAATCCTGTACCAGCATCTTGCTTGCATCATAGTAGCATCACTCAGCCCTCATATGTATTGCATTTTGGTTTTAAAAAGAGCAAGCTGCTTGCTGAGCACTTACCTGGTAAGCACTGCTCTGCTTCAGAGTGAAGTACATGGGCTTTTTGATAGCAGGCAGAAACATTTTGCTTCTCCACTTGGAACTTTCACAGTAAGTTCAGCGAAAACTCCAGTGTTGCATTTCTGCAAAGGGTAAACAATACCAGAGCTTAGGGGAAGAATGCTGATTCCACCACATCACTGTTGTTAGTGGCACCAAACTCTATATATTCACATGACCTCCCCCAACACATGCACACAGTGCATAATCCCTTAAGCTGGGGCTGCGCTCTCTGATTGGTACGGAGGTCTGTTACAAAATCAAGCCCTTCACAGTGATATCTCTAAGTGATTAAGCGGGAGGGTGAATGGGCATTAATCATGAGGTCCGATTACTGCCCTGCAGCTGATTCGCCTCTGCCTGCCGCAACGCAACGTAGAGAGTGTCCCGTCCTGTATTCCCTTCCTGTGTTTTTCTTTTAAATCACCCTATTAAAAAGGCTTTTTGCAAGTTAGAGAGCCATGAAATATTTTCATACAGTTGCATAATAAAGCCCATATCTGGTGCATGCAGACCACGGAACCATGATGGGGAATAAATGTTGGAGCAGTACTAATTGAGTCGTGTCATTAAAACTAGGTGTATGGGAGGCATACCAGATTCTCCATGGAATTTTTTTCCCCTCTCAAACATGGCATTATTTCATTAATATGGCAGCCTTAGGAAGAGCAATATTTTAGAATGGAACAGCAATAAGGTATTTTAAAGCAGCAAAATGTCCCTTGTTTTGGACCAAGTATTTATTTTTGTAGTTTATTTCCGTATATTGGTTTGGATTTTTGCAAGCTTTAATTTGTTTTTATCTTACGTTGGGGTTAGGCAGCTGCTTGCCCAGAAGTTCAGCTTCTTTGCATTCATATTCTCCAGCTCAAATCTCCCAAGCATCTTTCAAAGGTGGGAGGCCTTCTTTGAATTAAGAAAGCCCCAAGTCCCTTTTCCAGTTTTAGAGAAAAGAATTTCAGTCAAATGAATCCTCTGTTGCCCTGCTGCTGAACACCCCGGAGAGATGCCCTTAGACTGGGCAGCACTGAACTTCAAGTACCAGTGGCCCAATTTGTAAAAGGCACTTTCAGAATTTGGCTTTTCAATGGTCTATGAAATTGGACTGAAAGCTCAATATATTTGGGGGCATATATATCCCACTGGTCTTACAGTTTTTATGTACTCTTCAACTATGTCTTCACACTATGAAAATTGCTAAGAATGGGACTGCATTAATACAGACTAGCAAAAAAAGTCTTGCTTAACTGTGCAAGCACATAAATTACAGGGACCTATCTCAGGTATTTCTGTATTCACTATGAAAAAGTTCTTGTTTGTAAGGGGATTTAATTATTTTAATTTGGTACCCATATCTCATTGCTTTCCTATTTTTTTCTTGCATAGTCCTCTTCCTGGAGGCCTGCCAGTTTGCAAAAATGCTACTTTAATGCCCATTCATTTATCATTCTTTTGTTTAATTTTTGGATTCGTCCTCACAATCGCCTTATAGAGGCAGAGCACTGTCATTTCTACTTCAGAGAGGAAGAACTGGGGCTAAAATGCCATGGTTGGACGAGACATTCTCACCATGTCTGTGAGCGGGAGATCGCTTCAAGCGAGCTCTCTGGAACAGGAGCCCAGTGCTTGTCTCCAGCAGGTGGATCTACTACGGTATCCATGTGAGTGTTCTTTCATTTATGTTTTGCTTAGTTATTTTTAAAAACAAAATCCACATTTCACACAAACACAGAACCTTTCAAATAATAAAATGGATAATATTGATCACGACTAGCCAATGCAGTAATACCAGTGCTACCTTTCACCAGGGCCAACAGACACATGTTCCTTAGTAAAGGATCATTTAATCATACAGGTTGCCCCACAACCTCTCCCCTTCCAAAACAGCATTGAATCTTGGGGTGGCGCACCCCCTTTCCCTTTAGTAATACATATTCAGTAAACAGCCTCCAATTAGCTTCCACATTATTTTTACTTACCAAACCTTTTTTTCAACTTAATTCGCAAGTTAAACTAGGGCATCTTAAGTGGGCCTACCTAACTTGTACATAAATGAAGAATTCTCTTGTGCCATTTCTGACCTTCCCGGGTGGCCGGTACAAAATGAAAGCAGCGCTGCCATTGGGATCTTGTGCCCTTTAATAGCCTTAGTGCTCAGGCTGGCTGCTTGAAATAAAAACCCTGTATCTGTTTCCATCTTCTACCACACTCCCTTTTTAAACCCCAGTTCCTCATTACCCTTATGCTGTTTCCACCCCAGTCAGCTCAGAGGGCCGGTCCTGACGTTCTCCTCTTGGTCAGGAACTCACTGGAAGGTCACAGGAGTCTAAGAAGCGTCTTAGTTCTTTTCTGTGGGCCCTCCAGCTGCCCGAGAGGA